TGCTTTGCACCTTCCAAGTGCAAAGTGCTTGTTCAAGACTGGCAGGAGCCTGTGTCTGCACTCACCCTCTGTGGTGACCAACTAGAAGTAGTTGAGAGCTTTAAGTACCTCGCGAGCTTAATCACAACAGAAGGTGGTGTTGGAGAGGAGATCGCATCACGAATAACAAGAGCTAGAGCAGCTTTCGCCAACCTACGACACCTGTGGCGCCACCGTGACATCCGACTATCTCTTAAGGGAAGGGTGTACATTGCCGCAGTTCGTATCGTTTTGCTTCACGGTTGCGAGACCTGGCCTCTCCGCGTTGAGGATGCTAATCGACTTTCTGTATTTGACCACCGATGTCACCGAAGCATTGTTCGTGTCTGGTGGGAACACCGGGTGAGCAATGACGAGGTTCGTCGTCGTGTTGGGTGCGAATAGTCTTTCACTAGCGAACGAAATCGCTCTACACCGCCTCCGATGGTCACGTATTGCGTATGCCTGCCCATCAACTACCTTTCCATGCTCTCTCCGCACGGACCGGGCAAGGCTGGAAGAAGTGCCGCGGCGGTCAGAGCATGACATGGTGTAGAGGTCTAAAGAAGCTGGCTTCGGTTAGTGCAGCCCACGTTCCAGGTTGAAGCCCAAGGGATGAGGATTGTCGTTGGTTAGAGACCTTGAGAGATGCGGCTCAGAACAGGTGTTAGTGGCGCGATTGCCGTGCAGTTTGTCAAAACCCCGTTCCTTATGGCAGACAAAAATATTCGACTAGTATGCGATGGAACTATTAAAAAAGTCTTTCATTAACTCATTTGTTCTCCCCCATTGTCATTTAATCTTTCATTGTTCTCCATAACTTCATTATCACCCTCTTGCGTTGGCCTTGTGCTTGTTCTCAAACCGGTGTGAAATATATATATCGTTCTGCGCACACGCATATAATTCCGGTCACGCCACACTGTCTTCACTTCTCTTCGTGATTTCAATCGAAATGTTGGTCTTGCACGATCTTCTCTCACAGCCATATCTGTTAACCAAAACACACTGTGATCAGACACTACTCATCTTTACGCGTCCAACTTTCTCACACCCCTCGTGTCTGCGCCCCTAATCACCGTTTTGTTGCTTTTACCCAACTTGCGCACCTTGATTCCCACCACCGTAAATTTCAGCCTACGTAGTTTCAACGTCAAGTCCCTCTTTTCAAGGACGCATTTTGCATCCAAGTTACAATCGTGGGTATTTTACCTTCCATAAAAATGGATTGCCTGTTGCACGCCTGAGATACGTGGAATGCGAATCCAAGGTTTGTGCTGTGTTCAACAACCTGATTTAACACGTCTCCAAGCTAATTGGTAGCCGCTCCCCACACCCTTTATCCCATTCTCGTATCCCTTTCCTCATGATTCTCTAGCTGCTCGCTTACCATATAGAGAGCTAGGGAAAGCTTCATCCGCCAAATATTGAGATGTCGGCCTCATCTGTCACAAGTACCGAAACATTCGTTCCGTACCAAAGCCGTTTCCTAGTATCTGCTTCCCTTCCTATTTCCTCCCCTTTCGCAATTCCTCTCTAATTTCTAAAACCCTTCAGAATACAGGATTCTTCGCCTCCTAGTTTTGATGTTCTACGGAGTAATTCATCCGGTCTACCGACCGGTGGAGTTTAACTCCTCTCAGGGACTAGAGTTCGGGATAATAACCAGACTCTCCTACATGGCTTGGCGATCAAAGCATCCAAATATGGTGTCACGAATAACGAAAGCCAAAGTAGCTTTTGCCAATCTATGACACCTGTGGGCCCCACCCTCCGGCTTTCCATCAGGCGAGGCGTGTGCATCACCGCGCTTCGTAATGCTTTCGCCTTACGGTTACGGGAACTAGCCTGCGCTGTGGGGACGCTAATCAACTTTCTGTATTTGACCACCAGTGGCTTTGAAACATTGCTGGTATTTGGTTGGAATATAGGGGGAACTATGACGAGGTTCGCTGTCGTGTGTTGGTTTCTGATAATAGTTATTTGGAAAAGAAATCATTCCACATCGCCCTCAACAGCTCGGTCTCGTTTCGCGTATGGCTCTCCACTGTCTACCCCTGACGTTCTGTTTGCACGTGTCTAACAAGGCTGGTAGAAGCGCTACGGCGGTCAGATCATGAACCAAATCGCTTCACCTTTTATTTGCGGGCACAAAACTCGTCAAGTTTCTCAAACCGAAGCACGTGATTTTCTTGGGGTTGTTCACCCCCAGCCTTCGCCTTTCCCCAAACCAACCTACTGTTCAGCGGGGTAGTGTGTTAACAGTCATTAAAGTTCGGTGTCCATTCAGCCCGATTGTACGCCCGTGATACACAGTTATCGCGTCAAGAATGCTCAATTTCTCGATCGCGACTGTGGTACCGTGAAGCCAGTTTGTACGCCCCTCCAGAGAATTCAACCGGTTTTTCAGTTCTAACTAGACTAGGTGACCGTATCTCATCAACCCTGACATTGACTTTTTGCTACCGCTCTGTTCAAATTCCCCCTACGAGAAGGCACTGGTTAAGAATTGATCGGTAGACGCTTTGAAGAAGAATTTCTGTAGGCGGGTAGCTCTCTGATAGATGTTCGATCAGTGTTGTCTGACCCTACAGAACGCAGTGACGTGTTTGTCCCCATTGATTTTCGATACCATTTTATGACTTTTCTCATTTTCCGTGTTATAACCCAAGTCCCCCTCTCTAACTGTGTGGTTCTCCCAAATACAGTTTGGATTCCGTTTACAACGAACATCTTCTCACAATCGGCCAACTCCAGGACGAAGTCAAGGCGTTGAAACGTCAACTGGCTCAAAAGGACGCCGAAATGTTGGCGAAAGATCGCACAATCGCGGAATTGCGTTCAGAATTGATTGACACTAAAGAATTTCACGAAAGTCGTCTTCTAAAAGCTCGAGCGGCCGCCCAGTTGGAACAGGATCGTTTGACAGTAAGTATGAGAACTGAATGGATCTAAGACCAATTTGGTATGTTTTGGGGGACTGGGAAATAACTTCATCCTTTCACGTGACTACAGTTTAGTTGGTACAGTACCGTTTATATGGAAAATGAATATGGTAGTTACCCCCAGCTTACACGTTGCAAGTATCATAGTATTTTTGCAACAAGACGTTTAAAGTCACGGAATGGCAGTTACCCTTCCTTAGTGCCATCTGTTTTATCCAGTCTTTCGTCCTGATTCGTATTGTACAGGTTCCATTTATTTCTTGACCAGTTTGTCTCACTGCTCACGTCTCAGTCGTTCAAGCTGAAGCTTTCTTCACTCGATTGTGCGAATTGAAGTCAGATCACTGTGAAAAACTTCATTAACCGCGGGTGAGAATACCACATCTGTCACATCCGAATCTTCGATTGGTAAATTCTCCAGTTCCCTGGGGTTAGGTTGTAGATTTCCGTGTTTTGCTTATCATGTGCTGCGTAACATGGAAGTAAAAAACTGCTGTTTAAGCTAACTTCTTTTACACGAACAAGTGAGTATTTTTCATTCAACATTTTTCTTATATTTTGCAACCCAGGCTACGATTCGTCAGCTCCAGAAAGAGAAAGTATCTATTACTCAAAGCATGAAGAAACGTAAAAGTCACACAAATCTGTCGGGAATGGCTTCGCTTCGTTATTCAGCCTCCGCCTCCACTCTGTTCAACCCTGATTCCCCAATCCAATTTCACTCAAAAAGTGGGTCTGCGACCAATTCATCCG